TGAACAGTGTCTAACCCCAAAACAAAATTTTAGCAGCAGTGAAGGGTGAAGGAGAGGTTATTCTGGATTGGGGACATTGTTGTAGTTTCTCAGATTGCAGCCACTGCCTACAGATCATGCTGAAGGCAGAAAAAACTACAAATGTGTGTGTGCCTGAGGGACACACCTGAGCTACAGCTACGGCTACAGCTACGGCTACAGCTACAGCTACGGCTACAGCTACAGCTACAGCTACAGCTTGCTAGTTGCTGCCTGCTTCTCCAGCAAGGACAAATGAAGGATTTTCTGTAGAAAAAAATGACTGAAGCCTATAGAAAATTCATTTGAAAAGCCGATAACTATATATATGCTACTATTTTGTAATTGTCCTTGTTCCTCAGACGTCCGGCCTGTCATTCTCTACAGTCTTGTCTGGATCCAGGCTGGGGCTGAGCTGGTGGAGACTCAGTGGCCAAGAAAGAAGCCCAGTTAGAACCTGGGACTCTCCAGTGCTGCTGGCGAGACCCACCTCTCAGCTCACCTTAGCGGGGCTCCCCGGAATGGAAGGTGGGAGCTTAGCTGGGGAAGGGAGCAGGATGGGCAGAACCCCAAAGTCTGCTTCCTCCCTGGAGCCCTGGCTGGAAGCATCAGCAGAGCTGGTGGACACCCTCCAGGGCTGCCCGCAGCCTCCCTGGAAGGAAGCTGTGCCTGGAGGCTTGGTCAGACCTGCTGCTCCTCTAGGCGGGGATGTGGACAGCTCCTCGTCTTTCCTTCTCACGACCCCTCTTTCAATTTCATGCTCCCAGACACCCCACTTCATGGTACATCATGTGCAAAACACCCTTTTTTATTATATTTTTTCCTGCTCCTGAGTAATTTTTTGCTCACTATAAAAATTCAAATAAACAGTAATGTGCAAATGCAAAGCAAATGTTCCCACAGTCTAATTTTCTTGAGAGACCCCCCCCCACCCCAGGCATTCGGGCACGAGCCTTCCAGGCTGCTCTGAGCCCCAACAGTGTTTTGAGCCTACCCTTTCCTTCTCTCTTGCTGTCCACCCTGGGACCTGAACTCCCTCTCTCTTTTCTGGAATGGTTTCTCCACTCAGCCCCCTTCTGCTGCTGTTCCCCATCTTCCCAGCTGCTCCTCCCTGGGCTCCCCTGCACAGCCTCAGCATAGCCATGGCACAATGAACGATCCAGTCTTCCCCACTAGAAATGGGCTGGTGGTCAAGAGGGGATGGGGAGGGTGGACCCCACCCGGCTCTGCTGTTCTGTGCCACTCCCTTCAGCATCTTCCTTGTCTAGCATACTGCCCGCTGGCATGTGGTTGGTGGTCAGTAAATATTTACTGAATGAATAAGTGAGGGAATAAGAAGGTTCCAGGTCATAACAGGTGTCTCCATAGGACTTTTATGTACCAGTGGGGGCTACAGGTAGAGGCAACCCACCTCTGAGAACAGAAGTCTCTGTTGCCTGTTTCTGCGAATTGCCACTAACTTACACTTGCTGTATAACCTTGGGGGAAAGATGCCTCTGAATACCACTAGAGTGAGAGTTCATGATGTCAGTTTTCCTCCTCCCTCCAAACTGGCACGCTCCTTACCACCTAAGGACCCCTAAGGCCCTGCATCCTAGAAGGCCACAGCACCCTCCACTGCTGCCATTGCACGCACCAGGCTTTTGCACGTGGACCTGTGGGGTCATTCATCCCAGTCAAGTGTCTTTGCAACGTCTGATTTCTTTGGGACTCAAGATTGGCTCAGGCAGTGCTAGACTGTGCTCTTGAGCATTATGAGAATCAGATGTGGGGGAAGACTGAGGGGTGACCCTGATGGGGGTTGATGGGAGAACTCATCGTGTGCCAGAGGTCAAGCAGGCTCTTATGGGCACATGCTGGACGTATTCCTGTGAGGATCTGGGTATGTAGGGGGCATGTAGGAAGGGGTATTGGTCTCCAGCGTGAGTGACATGGCCCGGCCAGCAGAGCTGAGCAATCTGTCGTTGACTGATCAAGCCCCACCCCACTTTCCAGAGAGTGCCAGGTGCCACAAACAATTGTTGGTAACATTCTCTCTGGAAGTCAGCTCCTTGCCCATCAGTGGAGGTGGAGAGATATCTCTTTGCCTAAGCTGGGCTTATGGTGGGAACCTGGTGAATACTCAAAATGCGTGTCTTAAAATCAGTGCCTCTGCAGCGCTCACCTTGTTTGGTCCTCACAGGGCGGTGGGGATTATCACCTCTGGCCTTATGGATGAGGAAACCGAGGCTCAGAAATGCCAGGAGCCTGCCCCAGAGTGCAGGGCCTGTTTGAGCAGATCCAGAGTTCCCTAAGTCCTGAGCATCAGACTTCCTGGAGCTGCCCAGGATAGAGACAGGACTGTTGATTGGATCAGGGATCGGGACTGCAGGACAATGGGAGGGCTCCAGGTAGGTGGGGAAGAGGGGCAAGGCCTCTTGTTCTTGGCTGGGAGATGGAAGAGTTGGGAAGCTCAGGGCCTTCGGCTGTGCCGATAGGCGCAGGAGGGACAGTGGGGAAAGTTGACAGCATCAAGGGGCCACTCAGGGTAGACCAGCCATGGCTCTTCCTCCTCCCCACTCCTTCCAACAATCAGACCTCTTCACTGAGACAGCCGGTCTCTGCCTGTTTGGTTCCTGGGGGCAGTGTAGGACCTCTATCACCGCTGAAGCTATGGCCAGGCCAAGCCACCATGTATTTTGTTCTTCATGACTTTCCCACTCCTCCTGGTTGCTGCTGTTCCAGACTCTGGGGTGAGAATGGTGGGAGAGGATTTTGCTTTCTGTGGTGCCCAAGGCCAAAGTCACAGCTCTGCTCAGCTCCGACCTCTGTGTCTGCCTCCTGCCTGACATGGATGGCAAGGTCACGTTCTGCCTGGCAGCCCAGCTCTCACTGACCCTCTGGTCTCCTAGGAAGGTGGCCTGGGAGCAGTAGCCTAGACTGTCAGCCTCCTCCTGGGGCCTCTTCTGGATAAGCTGGCTTGATGTCACCCTGGGACTTGAAGTAAGAGCTGCAGGGGGTGGGGCTGGGAACTTGCATCTGACGAGCTCCGGCAGAGTTCTCAGGAGCGTGGTCTGGTGCCACGGCATGAGATCATCACACCGTCCCTGGCTGGGGAGGGGCTGGTCTCCCAGGGTGCCGGGAAGGAGTCTGGGTTGGTGGTGGTGAGATAAGACCGGTTGAATGAGCAGAGTTTCAGAACCCAGGCAGGAAGGCAGCCCCCGCCAGATGCCCTTGAAACTCTCCTCACCTCCTGGTGCCACTCCTGGGCCTCCCCGCCTCCCACGAGCGCTCTGTCCCGCGCAGAGCTGCAGGAGCCCTCAAGTCCAGGTCCAGAGAGGAAACTTGAGGAAGGACTTGGAGGTGGGCCAAGAGCAGAGCCAAGGGAGTGAGGAAAGATAGTGTTAGGGTCACTAATTCCAGAAAAGGCCGAGGGGGCACCTCAGCACCATCCAGGCCTCGGAAAGCCTTACTCATTAGGCTCTTGACTAAGTAAACGGAGAGGCCACAGGGCAGCTGAAGGAAAGAGGCAGGAGGGAGCTTGTGTAGTGGGAAGAAGGCCAGGGAAGCTTTGCACCTTAAGTGCGTTTATTTGTTTAGTTATTTTGAGGAGAGTTAATTCAGTTGTTCCCTGAATATGTTCAGTATCTACTTCTGGCACTTGGAAGTAGTACAGGAGGTGGGGGGGCAGTGACCATGGGACACCTGTTCCTCCCTCGCATGCTGAAGGTCAGTGGAGAAGCTCACGCGCTTGGAAAACCTTCTTGTCCCCAGCCAAGCCAGACACGTGGGTGACAAGGGCAGGTGTGGGCCTTCCTGGCGTGGATCCCCAAGGGGAATTTGGTGGGGTGGGGAGGATGTGTCAGGAGGAGTGGGTGGCCCTGCTCCACAGGACAGAGTGCCCTTCTGTGCCAGCCACCCTGTGAGGTACAATTCCCTGTGACTGCCCCCTCTCCTGCCCACAGCCTCCATGGCTCACACAGGGTCGTATCCAGAAGGGCGACTGGCTGCCAACTTTGGAGCATGTCACCACATCTCCACATGACTGAATGGCCTGTCAGGAAGCCAAGCTGAGTAACCCAGCTGTCCCTGGAGGAGCGATGGCACTGTTGGGGACCCTGGCATGGGCATGCCAGCCTAGCAGTCTAGGCCTGAAGGGTGCCCTCCTGGGGCCATCGTGTCCCCTTGGCCTTGCTCCCCTGCTGGGCCTCTGGCCACTCAGATACCCTGTGTGCCCAGGCTCCTCAGAGGGAAACTGGTGGCAGAGGGGGCGGCTTCTGTCCCAGCCATCTCAGCACTTGCTTTTTATATGTTTCCATAACAGCAATGCCAAGAGTAGCACAGGTGAACAGAGAGAGAGGTGAGAGGAACCCAGGAGTGGCACCTGTTGCTGCCTCTCAGTGTAGCCTGGGTTTTCATATGTGAAGCAATAAGAGTGATTCAAGCCCCAGCTCCCAGGAACTGGAAATAGAAACCCCGGCACCCCAGGTCTGCTTCTGAGTCACTGGTAGCCTCCGGTAAGTTCCAGAACTTCTCTGGGCTCTTCCTCTACAGAAAGGGAGGACGAGGTCCATGGTTCCCTGAACCAAGGAAGGGGCGGGTAAGGGACTGTGGCAGTGCAGCACTTACGTGCCGGGAGGGTGCTAAGGATTTCATGTAGTTCATCTCTTTTACACTTCCCCGCCACCCTCGAGGTTGCTGTAATGGTTATCATTTCCAGAGAGAAGGAAACTGAGGTGGGGAGAGAGGAACTGTCCCAGTAAGTGGTGGCATCTAATCCCCAGCCTGCGAGTCCGAGCTCTTCCCCTTCTGGAGCTGGGAGAGAGAAGCAGCATGCGGCAATGACAGCGGCTGGCTCTGGGGCCCGGGGTTGTTGCGTCAAGCTCCCCTGTGACTGGTGGCAGCTGGGGGACTGCCTGAAGACCTGTGCTCTTTCTTCTCCTGAGGTGATCCCCTCATCCTGACCTAGGCTCCAAGGCCCCCTACCCCCGGCATTTCTGCATCCTCTCCACACAGGTCCTTGGTGTGTCTGAGTGTCTGCCGCTGTCTTTTCAGTGTTGTGCTCCTTTGCCTGGTAAGGAGCCGAGGTGGCGCTGGTTGAGAGACTCACCCAGCGGCACCATGGGTGGTGGACTCTCAGCCCAGTGCTTTCTTCCCCAGTGGAAGTGAGCCTCTATTGCAGCCCCGATGACCCAACACCACTGGAGTCAGAATTCCGAGGGTGAGGCAGAGCCTGCACTTGCTGAGTTCATTCATTCATGCATTCATTTATTCAGTCATCCATTCATTCATTCGTAATGAATGAACTGCCATGCTGAAGAGCTGGGTCAGATTAGTGGACACAAAAGTGAACTGTCCTTGAGGGCCTGAGGGGAGATGGGTGGCTGGGGGAGATGGGAGGCAGCTGCAGTTGCTGCTGATGGGAGCCCTGAGGAGAGACACCTAAACTTGGGGTGCAAGGATGGCTTCCTGGAAGAGGTGGTTGAGACCAGAATGAGGAATAAAAGTGGCCTTGGAAAATTAAGCTGAGGGTGGGAGAGAGGAATGGTGCCCAGCGTCGGTGTAGCCCTGAGAGCAACAGAGTGCAGTGCACCTGCCACCGTGTGCTTAGTGCCATTCCAGACCCAGGATCGTTCGTATGCCATTCATATGCCATTAGCATACACGGATTATTCGTATGCCATTAGCATACTCGCTCCTTCTCTGTCCCTCCTACCTGGGACCCCTGCCCACCCTGAGTGCCCAGCTCCCTACTTTCCTTCTAGCGGCAGGCCTCAGTGCGGGCACCATTACCTCCTTGCCGCCCACTGCCCTGGCACATGGACGCTCCTCTGGGTGTGGATCACTTCCCCCCGGGGGGTAACTGGAGAAGAGGCGGCAGGTGAGACCACAGGGCCATCCTGGCACTGACTCTGTCCTGGAGACCGGGGGAAGCCTTTGTCCCGGTGGCTGCAATGGGTTTCAGGAGAGAGCTTCAATATTTGTTGCAAACACAGGCACAAAAGATGTGGAGGACTATTGTGGGCTGTCCAAAGAGGAGCTAATCCTCCTGGCCAGAAGGGGTTCAAGCACTGGGCAGGCTCTTGGGGTGTTGCTCTGTGTGGGCAATTGTAGGAGATAATGGGAGGGGGTAATCCCTGCGCAGGCACGGGTGAAGGTGTGGTGAAGGGGGACAGCACCTGTCTCGAAAGCTCAGGAAACAGGCAACACTCCCTGTGCTTCCACGCACTCTGGACCCCGTGCCTGGCACAGCGGCCCTCTGCCAGCCATCTGAGTCACCTTATTAGCTGTCCTTGGCCGGGGTCACTCATGTCTGCGAAGGGGATGACGGTGAGGTCAGCCAGGGCTCTTGGGCCTCTCCCCCTATCCCTCCCTCCACCTCCTCCCCTGGCTTCTTTTTGGTCCACACATATGGACAGTCATCTCTTGGTTCCTGGGGGCCCAGCTAAGGGACACCAGCTGTATTCATATGCCATTAGCATACACAGATTCTACTGCAGGAGGCTATTTTTAGCTCCTCCTTCTTTCAAACCTGCCCAGCCACATCTAATTATGGTACTTGAATGTACTATCCAGCCACAGAGCAGAGAAAGTCTTTGGTGGAGGTGATGGTGAAGGGGTTCCCTAGGTTCCCTTCAAGAATGAATGGTGGTCCACCCTCGGGTTCTCCCCACCACCCATTCTTGGAGCCAAAGGAAGAAATCTGTAGTCCCAGGAGCTGGAGGGTTGGAACTCAATTCTTGAAGCTTTGCATTAGCACAGAGGGCTCTGTCCCAGGATTTCCTCACCTCTAGACATCTCCAAGGGTGCAAAATGGTGGGGAGGGAAATGAAGAGGAAGACATGTGACAGCTTTACATAAATATGCATAATTCTATATAACTTGCATGGGTGGGATTACTGAGTTTTCCAGAAATGTTCAAATTCAGTGTTTTTGCTTCCTAAACAGTTCCTCTCTCTTGAATTTTCTTTCTTTTGCTTCTCACAAGCTTCCAAAGATTCAGGCATACCCCCTCCCCAGGGGGCAGAAGAGGACTGGGTAGGAGCTCAGTGCAGACTGGGAGGAGAAGACCGGCAGTGTAGAGGACTGAGCTGGAGCAGAAGAGGGCCAGTGTGGATGTCTGAGGTTTCCGTCGGACCCAGCAGTGCCATCCCAATTCCAAGATGCCCAGGGATCCTGAGGTGTGAGGGGCTCTCTCCTGAAGCCCTCCTTTGCCAGAGACCTGTGAGATCTTATTTCCTTTCACAAACTCACAGAACTGGAGTGGAGCGAGGGGCGTTTGTCTGCCCATTGCCCAGAGGGTGGCCAAGCCACTCAACAAGTATCCAGAGCGTGTGGCTCCCAGGCCGCGGTTCCGCAAGGGCCGACCTGTGTCTGGAACTGAGAGCTGAGTCCTGGGAGCAAGGGTCTTGAAATGCATTCTCCAAGCTGCTCCCTGCCCCTAACAACAGGAAAAGGGCCCCTCCCCTGGGGCTTGGGGGCGGGATGAAAAGCAAGAAGGAACCTGATCGTCCTCACTGCAGGGGCCTGGAAATCTGTCTGGTTATTTCCATTGACAGCCAATTACCATTGTATAGAAGATAAATGAGGCTTGACTCAACTGAAGCCAAGCAGAGGGAGCAGCTGTGAAAGCCCTTTGCTGGCTGAACACTTCCTCTGCTCCCAGCCCACCCCGCCTTTTCTGCCTCCTTTGTTGCCATTCTTCTTGCTTATCTTCCAAACAATGTTTTGGAAAAACCACATTGTTATAAGTATGACTACTTAAACAATTAGCATAATAATATCTTTCTAAAACACACATCGGACCCCATCACTGCACTACCCGGAAACCTCTGAAGGCCCCAGGGTCTGCTCCAATGTCTATCAGGCCCTGGGCACAGTGGGTCCAGCCTTCTTTCCTCACCTCTCCTCTTGCCCTGTTCCTTTTCCTCAGAACTCCTCAGGCCTCCACCCTCCTGCGCAGACTCCCGGCTCCTCCCCCTCAGCTCCTTTGCTGTCTTCTGCTTCCTGCAGGTGAGAAGACCAGCACCTCTAACTCAGCCTGCTTCACCTCCCGACCTAGCAGTCCCCGAGCAGATCCCATCTGCCCCCATGGTGGCTCCTTTGTTCTGTCTTCTATATGGAGAGAGGCCTCGCCTGCTTTGGACATCTCTGTCCCCAGCATCTTGGCAGAGCTCTTGGAATATAGGAAGGTTTGTTGAAGGAATGAGTCAGTGTGGATGAGTTGGGCTTGGTGACGGATGGTAGATTTTGGATTCAGAGAGGTCAAGTTCTGATTGTGGTTGTCCCTCGCTGATGGATGGCCATAGGCAAGTTATTTACCTCTCTGAGCCTCGGTTCTGCTAAGAAATAATAACTGCAGTGTTGAAAATTAAATTCAGCAGTAAGGTTCAGCATCTGCTAGTGTCTGGCCCATGTAGGGATCTCATTAAAGAGTTACTGCTACCATAGATAATTAATGCCTGTGTTTCACACTTACTCTGTACCAGGATCTGTTCTTGTCTTTAAAGTCCCAGTTTACTGCACAGAGACAGGCAACCAACTACAAGCCCAGGGTGCCAGGAAAGGAGAGGCAAGAATAATGCCCTCCACAATCCTCCCCAAAACAGTGCTTCTCTACCATGCACGCCTGTTCGCCTGGTCACCTCCTATAGCTTTCAGGTAGGCAGGAGAGGCCTCAATGTCTCCACCCCACAGTGGGTCCACAGAGGCCCCAAGATGGCACCACTGGCCAAGGTCACACTGTGCCTGGCTCTGCTTTATTCTTCTTCCATGGCGCTCCTCCCTCCAGTCACCTTCTGCGGTTACAGGTTCCAGGACAGTCTGCTTTGTTTACTTCTCCACCCCTGGCCTCTAGGTCAGTGTTTGGCACATGATAAGCACTCAGTAATTAGATATGGAAAGAATGAGTGAGGGCCAGAAGAAGGCTCAGCGAGTGACGGAGCTCGGAGGCCAAGGAGCTAGGGAAGGGGCTCAGCCTGCAGAGCCTGATGACCTGGGTTGGGATCTCAGCTTCACCACACACTGGCTCTGGTTATGAACTTAAGTTACGTACCCTCTCTGGGTGCCAGTTTCCCTGTATGCCTAATGGGAATGATCACACAAAACTTATTTCATAGGATTGTCAGGAGAAGTAAACGAGTTAGCATTTATAGAGCATCCAGAACAGAGCCTGGGCAGAATAAAGCTCCATACATATTTGGAAACTTAGAAAAATCAAACAGCCAGGCATGGTGGTGCACACCTGTAATCCCAGCACTCAGGAGGCTGAGGCAGGAGGATCGTTGAGAGTTCGAGACCAATCTGGGCTACAAAGTGAACTCAAGTCCAGCCTGAACTGCACAGTAAGACCGTCTCAAAAAGACAGAAAAATCAAACAAATGGTCATCTTGGCTCTAAATCTAAATCATAGTATGTAGAGCTTTATAACTTTCCATGTTCATGATATTTTACCTTTAGATTATCCCTGTGAAGGAGGCAAGGAATAGTTTTTGGTCCATGTTGTAGAGGAGAAAATGGAGACCACAAATAACAGGTCTTGGCTCAAGATCACACAAAGGCTTGATGAAGATGATCTGACTTCAAGTATATGACCTTGCCTGATTGCACACACAGGTGATTCCTTCTCCCAGATGTACCCTGAAACAGAAGTATTTATGTATGTGTGTGTGTGTATATTTGTGTATGTATGTGTGTATATTTGTGTATGTATGTGTGTGTATGTGTGTATGTATGTGTGTGTATACGCATGTATGCATGTGTGTATATGTGTGTGTGTATGCGTGTATGTATGTGTGTATATGTGTGTGCGTATATGCATGTATGTATGTGTGTAGGTATCTTGGTCTCAGCATTTGGAAATCCGGCAAACCTTGCTGGAGACTTTAAGGTTGGGGAAAGCCAGATTCCAGAGAGATAGACAGACCCCAGGCGAAAACGTCTAGGATGCTCCTGCTGACCCTCGGCCTCTCCTCTCCTCTCAGTTGTTTACACAGCAACTGTCGTGGACCCAGAACTGTGCCAGGGGCCAGGGAAGACCAGGCAAATTCCACCCTCGGGGATCTGTGGTCCAGTTTGGAGGAGGAGGCAGAGTCTTCCCGGGGCCAGGCTTCTCAGCTTCCTAGTTTCAGAGACTCTGAGCAGGCATGAGAATTGTATTTTAAAGTTTATTTTATATCACTGCAATGCACACCAGAGGATCTGAATCCCAGAAGTCATCTAGGAGCGGAGATGAGGCAGCAGGAAAAAAATGGATGAATTCTTTTATTTGTTTGTTCATTCATTTGTTCATTTATTCAGTTCTCATTTGTTGTATCCTCAGCCTACAGCATGGGCATCCCAGAAGCCTATGCCTGCCATCATAAATAGATTGAAAAGAAATATCCCTCTCACAGTTCCTGATCTCATCACACTGGCCATTTACTGAGCATCTACTATGTGCCAGGCACAGCACACCCACAACAGGAGCTCTTTGAGCTGAGCATTGTCATCCTTACCATCCAAGCAGGAGAGTGGAGACAGGGATGTTAAGTGACATGCTCAAGGTCACCCAGCTATGACAGAGAAAGGATTCAAACCCAGGCCTACTTGACTCCCAAGGTTGAAGTTTTTAAATTGGGAAATATGGGTCACAGAAAAGAATTTGGTAACATGCATTCAGGACACAATGCTTAAAGCAAAGTCAGTTCAGGACCCAACCAGAGGGATCGGCCGTTTCCCACCCAGTCCAGGCTCCTGCTGTCCCCACACTGACCCCACCCCTAGCAGCTGTTCACATTTTGGATTCATTGTGATTTTATGTTTTCAGCTATTTTACCACCCATGCTGCTGACACATGTGTGACGATGAGCCGTTGCTTTGTGTGGCTTGGGCTTCCTGTGAGTGTGACTCGGCCTGGCTCCTCCGTGGCTTGCTGCCTTCCAGACGCTTCTGAGGCTCACCCGGCAGATGCGCGTGGCTTTGGTTTATTCATTTCCGCTGCTGTGCAATTCTATTGTTTGAATATAACACATTTTATTTACCCAATTTCTCCAGGTATAAACAATACCACAAGGAAAAGTCTTGGTCCTGTTCTCTGACACACCTGACAGTGTTGCGTGAACGCAGGCTGGATTTGCAGGCTCCGTTCGCAGCACATCGCATTTCATCGCGCCAAAGAGAAGCACCAGTCTACCGCTAAACTAGACGAGGGTCTTTTGAGGGACCAGGCTCGGGTTTAGGAATGGGGATTTCGAGGTGTCGACTCCCTGCCAAGCCCTGAGATTAGCCTTGGTAAATAGCTAAGCATGGCCATTTCTGTGGCACTTCACGGGGCAGTGCACACACTTGAGGGTTTATCTTCAGAATCGAGCCTCCGAGGTTGGAAACACTTGCTGCTATTGGCTGACATCCAGGAGAGACTTGGCTTCCCCCGATGCCGGAGAACCAAGAGCGAGCGAGGTGATCTCGCCCCACCCCGCGGAGGCTCAGCCTCCACACCAGGGCACGCGGGGTTCGGGGGTTTTCAGGCTCTGTTCCTTGCTTGCTGCAGAATCTGAGTCTCTGCCTTGCACTCAAGGGTGCGCGCTGTAAGCGACTAGAAGAGCTTGGGGTTCACATCACCCCCTCCTTCCCTCCTCTCTCCTTCCCTTCTGCCAATATTTAATTTCCTTCCTCTAACTTTTTGGTTGAGTAATCCAGTCGAAGAGTTGGAAATTAAAAGTGTAAAACTATAGAAGGAAAAGGCTTGCTCTTGCTACCGACTCCTCTCTCCATCCCTCCTAGAGTTTTCTTTATAGATAAGTAAAACTGAACATAATTCTCAAACTTCCTATTATACAATTAATAACATATTATACATGTGATTCCACCATTGTCTTCTCAAATAACAATGCGCTTGGAGATCTGCTCCACAGACCACTTCATTGTTCTTGTTAAACAGCTGTATAATGTCTTGCTGTATTCCACTATATTTATTTATCACCTACTGGGCACCAATCTTACATGATGTGCTGGGCTTACAATGATGGATCCAACCAGACCCTGCCTCCAAGGAGACTACAGGGTAAGCACAATAGATAAACAATTCTTATAAACCATTTCATGTAGTATTTGGTCAAAAATATTTATGGAGCACCCATAGCTCTGCACTGGGGGAGCACAGTCAGTGAGACCCAAGGAAAGCCCACCCTTCCTGTGGGGCCTTGATGAGGGACATGTAGGACAGTGTCAACCTGTGGCAGGGTCCCAAAGCAGGAATAGGGCTCAGGGAAGGCAAACGGAGGAAGTGAGGTTTCGGCTGATGATGAATAGCCAAGGAGGGAATTATCCATGTGGGGCCAAGGCTCCAGCAGAGGGATGCAGGCTGGCCAAGGCAGGGGAGCTGCCTGGGGAGCTGGGTGGAGCCCTCAGGGAGTGGAGGCCTCACAGCAGTCTGGGCCTGCGGGGAGGGAGCGGGGCTGTGGACCACAAGAGAGATTTGCCCTCATGAAGGCCACAGGAGCATCTGCCGTGTGGATTGGTCAGGGGAGGGACCTGAGGTAGGCAGAAGGCCACAAGGAGGGCAGAGCGTGAAATGCATTCAGGTTGCCTGTCCAAGTGAAGGCAGGGGAGGGGAGGATGCGGTGGTGTGGCCGGGCTCACCTGGATTCGAGCTGGGGGCAGAGGAGGCTCCTCCCCAACCAGGTTCATTGACACCATGGAGGAGCATGACTGGCCTGGCGCCCTACGTCTTCATCACCCCCATCCTGTCCTCTGTTTCTGGGCTTAACAAGGACCAACCCCTTCCCAAGACTGCTTCCGTCCCATCGTGCACACACATACCACAGCACGTACACAAAGCACACACACGTATGCGTGTGAATGCACACCCTGCCCTGCACACTACACACTCACCTCACCCATACACATACTATACACTCACCCCACATACACATGCCGCACCCTGCGCACCCCCCACAGCACAGGCCGTGGCCCTCCACCAAGCTGAGCTCTGTCAGCTGGTCCTCACCCCCAGGAAATACCCAAAGGGGCCTCCAATGCATGCAGCCCTGCCGGGCCTGTTGTCACCTCGCCACGTAGCCCAGGTTTATTTGGTGATAAGATTTGGCTTTGTTTTTCCCAAGCCTCAAGGGCATGTGCCACCCTGAGCCTGGCCTGGTTCTCTCTTCTCCAATAGAAGCTGCCTCCTTCGGCCAACCCCTGAGCCCACTAGGGTGAGTACGGAGGGCCAGTATCAGACCTGGGAGTGGGATGGGGCTGCCGCTGGCCCAGCACAGGGCCCTCTGTGGACTCACTTGTCAGCTCATTCGCTCTGCTCTGGGCCAGGTGTGTCTCAGGGGCGATAGGATGGATGCACCCAGGTCCCCATTTCCCATTGGTTTCTGACTCCAAAGAAGATGAAGAATGTGGGTGTGGGCCTTGGCACAGCCTCCAGGCTGCTCTGGCCCCCTAGCACATCATTTCCCTTCCAGCTGCAGGCCTCTGTCACTGTGGAGGACACAGAAACTCACATTGGCGCAGGTCCCATGTCCACTTCACGGACGGGTGGTCTTCCTGTCCTCATGGCTTCTGCTGTTGCCATCTTGAAGTTCTTAATAACTTCTGAGCCAAGGGGCTCAGTGTGTTCAGTTTGTACTGGACTCCGCACACGAGGGGGCCAACCTTAGTTTATTGTTATCTGCCCTTTAGTATCTTTTGCACTTTGAATCATGTAGGTATGGCATTTAAAAGTTGAAAAGTAAATTTGGTAGCACAGAATACATCCCTAGACCCCCAGTAGATGACCGAAACTGGATAGTGACAAATTCCATATAGTCTATGCTTTTCCCTATACATAATCACCCATGATGAAGTTTAATTTATGAATTAGGCCCAGTAAGAGAACAGGACAATTATAACGTTATATTGTAATAAAAGCTGTGTGAATATACACTCAAAATATCTTATGCAGTACCTACCCTTCTCCCCTGCGATATGAGATGATTTATGAACTTTATGGTGAGGAATGAGGGGTGATGGAGGTCTTGTGACACAATGTTCAGCTACTCAAGTGTTGCTTGAACACAAGCAGTAGATATATATGGCAGCTGATCTGATAACCAAGTCTGTTACTAAGTGACTAATGGGTGGGTAGTATACGCAATGTAGACACCCTGGACATAGAGATAATTTGTGACCTGAGCATTGTGGTATGAGATTTCATCACTCTACTCAGAATGGCAGATGGATTAAAGCTATCCATTTCTCCCTTGTTATGGTTGATACATTGTGTCAACTTGAGGAGTCTAGAAGCTTAGCTCTGGCAGTTCTACATCCTGGGGTGAAAAAGACAGGCCTTTCCTGCTCTAGGATGTTGTTCATTGTGTCAACTTGGGAAGTTTAGAAGGTTAACTATGTGACTCAGCAGGGAGCCAGCATCCTTACTTGGTATTCATCCTGAGCCTGTGCAAGAGGAGGGCCCATAGTGTGGGTGTGGGTAGACAGCTGATATACAATATAAGGAGGGAAAAGAGGCTTGCTCCCCTCCCCTTTTACTCTTGCTGCTTTTGCTGTCTTGTGCCACCTTGAACTGCTGCCCCTGTGCCCTGCCACCCTGCCTTGGAGCCAGCTGATTATGGACTGAAACTTCCACAAACTGTAAGCTAAATAAATCTTTCCATCCTTAATTTTGGGTGTTGGATATTTTGTCTGAGCAATGAGAGAAAAGTAACTAAGACACCTCAGAAATTCCCACTTAAAATTTTTAGTCTACAGTACACTGTAACTGGCACCTGCAGAAAGTGAAATGATGGACAAAAGGACAAGACCGTTACACAAAGGATAAAAACACAGTACGTATTTATCAGTGGTGCCACTGGGAGATGCTCCGTGTGTCCACGCAGCTGTGCACGCTCAGGAGGCCAGCACAGTGCAGAGTGCTGCTCCCGCGAGGGCACTGGGCTCTTTCTGGGGGCGGGGGACACAGAGGGGTGTGCGGCGGCCCACCCTGCCCCGCGCCAGCCCCGCACTGTGCCCGGGTTGAGTCAGGCCCAACTCCAGAGCTGGGGGCTGGGGCTCCCCAGGCCCCTTGCTGATCCCTCCGGACTCCCCAGCTTCTAGGCCAGAAGTCGGGCGACACTTGCGGGCAAAGCTGGCGCCCCCAGCTCTGCCCGCTCATCCCCTTCGCCTGGGCCCTGTCTGCGCTCTCTGAAGCCGGAAGAAAAAGCAGGCGATGGGTCAGAGTCCGCAGGGAGGGAGGATCCGTGGCTCTCCGGGCGTCTCATTCCAGGATCTGTCTCCGATTCTTATTCTTGCCCAAATCACCCATGTCGCAGTTTTTGCTCATTTCTTACTAAGCTGAAGGAACTCGTATTCTCTTGGCTCCCGAATCTGGGCGGAACAGGCCCGGAGCTGGGACGCGCTTTCAGCACCAGCCAGACAGCACCAGCTTCAGGCGCGGGCGGAGCCTGGAAGCGACGGGGCGCTGCTGTCCTCTGGCGGCGGACCGCAGAACAGCGCGGCGCCACAGGATGGCGGGGCCCCTGCGGGTCGCGGGGAGGGCAGCTTTGAGTCCTGGGGAGAACGAACGTCCCTTCACTGTTCTCAGAGCATAGCAAGCTGGTCCTTGCCTCCCGGCCTCTGCCATGCTATTCCTTCCCCTGAAATGCTCTTCCTGCAGCGCCCGGGTCAAACGCCACCTCTTCAGGGAAGCCCTCCAGGACCACTTCATCCCAGCCCTTGCCTCGGTCCTGTTGCTCATGGCGTCTACTGGCCCTTCGAAAACACCTGTTTAGGTTCTATGTCTGTTGCTTCTACCTCAGCAGTTGTAGGCTCTTGGAGATAGATAGAGCTCTGGTCTGTTTTATCACTGGACCTCAGTGCAATGAACATAGTTGGTACTCAAAAATATCCACTGAAGGAGTAAATAAATGCATAGCAATAGCAGCAATGAAATTTAAGTACAGCTTCTGGTCCTCAAACCACACCCCCATTTGACAGATGAGCAAACTGAGGCTTGAGAGATGTATATGAGCTGCCTGAGCACCGAGCAGGGAGCAATGAGCAAGTCCCTGACAGCTTGTCTTGTGCCCCCTCAGTCCCGCACCAGCTTCTGCCAGGCTCTGCTCCTCAGCCTGGTTGCTGAGGAAGGCTGCGCTGCCCCCTGCTCAAAGCTGTGTGGTGTGAGGGGAGGAGCCAGTCCATAGGACTCCAGAGGCTGCTGGGCTGTCTGCAGGAGTGTGCGTTCTGCAGCAGGACTGTGCGTTCTGCAGCAGGACTGTGCGTTCTGCAGCAGGACTGTGCTTGGGGGAGGCGGCTGGCAGGGGGCTGGAGCCCCCAGGGAGGGCTCCCCTGCTTTTCTTGTTTTGAGGCAGGGAGGACTCTGGGCTTTCTCTGGGTCCCCGGAGACCCAGCCCTGACTTCTCTGGAGTCAGCCCCAGGCAAGGCCGCCACTCTGGCTCTGGGCCCAGCGATGCTCGAGGGCTCTGGCCACAGGGCCTTGGCCTCGTGGGCTGGGTGAGGGCCAGCGGTGTGGCTGAAGGAAGCTCAGCCGAGACTGTGGGGCCCAGGGTGGCTCTGTCTCTGGAGTGCGGAGTGGGAGTCGCCGTCAGCAGCAGCGGCTCTTCCCCTGGCTGGGCGTGAGTTTGATGGAGTCTGCAAGGTGATTCTCCAAGATGCCTCGGTACTGGGGGAGGAAAACAGCAATCAGCGTCTGCGACTTCGCAAGCGACCACATGCCCGAACCCTGCTTCTAAAAAAGCCCAGCGGTTGAGTGATTCCTCCCTTTCTCAGGTTACAGTTGGAAAACTGAGGTCCAGCAGGGAAGCTGCCATCTTCTTACCCTACCCCTTCCCACCTCCTTTTCCAGGAGCCCGGCGCAGTTCTGAGGCCCCGTTGGGAGCCCAGCCTTCTGATCTCCAGCCAGGTCCCACCGTTTCCCATTCCCCAGAAGGAACAGCAGAGGTGACAGTTGGGCTCAAGCAGAAATGACGACAGCCCACTCCTCATTCCCAAGGCCCCAGCTGTCTCTTCTCTGGGGCCGGCTCCCAGGCTCTCTTCTCCCAGCCAGTCCTCTCTCCTTCCTGATTTCGGAGGCGGCCCCAAACGAACATGTCTCCGCTCCTCTGCCCACTCGCCGAACTCTCCCAGCTCAGCAAGGGCTGGGAGAAGCCTCCTTATCTGCCGAGTCTCGTGCACAGGGCAGGACTCAAATCCAGGCCAGTCCTGCTGCAGACAGGGCCCCTGTGACTTGGGCACTCAAGGCCAGTTTCCTGAGTGAGCGTGGAGGGGGCGTGTGTGAGGCTGCCAATCTGTTCTGCGTGCAGGAAGACAGAGGGAGCAGCAGCGGGCTGACATCTACTAGTGGCATTAGGAATGTCATTACTAATGTCAATAGGAAGGACACAGTGTCAACAATAAAGGGCCCTTTGACCCCGACGGGACAGCGCTGACACACACAGACACTGGCAGGGCTGCGGGAAGCTGAGACTGAGTACTTGGTAGTGACTGCGCCATGTTTGCAGAGGAGAGTGATCACCGTGCACCGTGCAAGGTAGTAAGTGCACCTGCTGTGCGTTAGCAGCCCCCCTGCCTGTGTAATAGGCCTCATGGCTTGACTTTGTGCTGAGATGGACATCCCAGGGCCTCTCTTTAACTGGAGACGCGAGGTCTGGCTAGCGGGTAGAAGCACAAGACAAGCCCAGGGACAACGCGAGCCTGGGGCTCTGCTGGGCGGGGACGGAGAGCTCGAGCCAGCCCTACACAGCCGCTAGAGAGCGCTGCCGCCCCAGCCCTCCGCAGACAACTCCCAGAGGTACCCAGAGGGCGGCTGTGGGGCATCTGGCAGTGGCGGGGAGGCACCACCCTGGATGAAGGCGGTGCTTCTGCTCAGGGAAGCTGCCGTCACTTGTCCGCATTTGCTCCTGTACTCCGTTCGTTGCAGTGATTACCAGCCCCCGCCCCATGGTTTTAAGAAGCCCACCTTGATTAAAGGTGGCAGGATGATGAACAAGCAGAGCGCCTCCCCATGCCCATCTCGTGGACCCTGTGCGGAGCCCCCAAACTGCACTCAGGATAGCGTTACTAGCCAGGAGTGGTGGGGCACATCTGTAATCCCAACACTCTGGGAGGAGGCCGAGGCAGGAGGGTTGCAAGTTCATGCCCAGCCTGGGCATCTTAATGACTTAGCAAGACCCCGTCTCAAAAAAAAAAAAAAAAAAAAAAAAAAAAAAAGAGCTGGAGGTGGAGCTCAGTGTGAAGGTCCTGGGTTCAATGCCCAGTACTACGAAGCAAAACAAAATAAAACAAAAAAACACCCCTGCTACTGCTTCCAGGCAGCCTTCATCCTCTCCTTCCCCACGGGGTGGGCGGTCAGCGTCCCCCACCTTCAATCCCATCACCAAGTCCTGTCCCACTCACTGTGCATGAGCAGCGGTTTGGAAACCTCTGTGTGCCTGTCTGTCTCCCTCCTGAGACTGAGGGTCCCTGAGCTGGCACAGGACTGGCACTCGGGCCACCCTGAGTGCATACTGGCAGAGCAGTGTGCCACTGGGCAGAGGCCTGTTCCTCTTCTCACTGGAGGATGTCAGCACTCCTGCAGGGGCACAGCACCAGTTTCCAGCACTCCACACAGGCATCTCCACCCATCCAGATGCTGACCACACACTCAAGGCACTTTATGACTCTGTGGCTCCAGAGCTGCGGCGCCCGCTCAGTGACGATCTCACTAAGACGACCTTAGACGACCTCACTAAGATGACTCACGAGCACCTCTGTGCCACCCTGTGCTGGGGTGGTCTTCCCTGGATGCTCCCAAGACCCCCAGCCCAGGGGCAGTGCCTGCTGGTGCCACTGCCACACACTCACCCTCGACAGAGCCTGCCTGGCCAGCACCTCAAAGGCCTGCACTACGTTGATGTCGTTCTTGGCACTGACTTCAAAGTAGGGCATGTCCTTCTCTTCACACCAGCCTTGGGCCATCTCCGGGGGCACCTGAGGGAGGGGAAGGAATCATCACTGCTCCTGTGCTGTTGCTGTTGCCTGCTCACTGCTGTGTTTCCAAAGTGCGCAGCCCCCCTCCCCTCATGTTGAAATTGGTCCTCAATGTGATAGTGCTCAGAGGTGGTGAAGCTGGGAGAGGCGATGAGGTAGTAAAGAAGGGTGAACCCTTTCTCCAGCGAGTGTTTTCTTGCTCTTATGGGGCTGGGTTTCTCCAAGGAGTGTATTCTTGCTCTCGTGGGACTGGATTGGTCACTGGGAGAGTGAGCTGTGGCACATGCCCCTCACCTTTCCCCTTCTCTGTGTTCCCAACTGCCCTGTCACTTTCCTCTGTGAGTTGAAGCAGCATGAGGCTCTTGGATTTCTCAGTCTCCAGAACCATGGAGCCCAGGCAAACCTTTATTCTTTATAAGTTACTTATTCTCAGGTATTTTGTTACAGAAACAAAATAGACCAGCAAACACCTCCCCTGGTCACCACCACCACTCATGTTTTGAGAACCTTCCACACATCTGTGACTTTATGCATGTTCTCTATTAAATCCTCACCATGAGGTGGGATTGTTAGCTCTATTTTACAGATGAAGGAACAGTAACCTGGAGAATCAAAAACACTGCTCAGAGTACACAGGGCTGAACAGGATTTGGACACAAGTCTGGGACAGTTAGAGCCAGTGCATATGCTGCCTTCCTAAGACTTAAACTAGGAGTCTCTTCCTGGCATTGACTCCTTTACTCCTGTCAAAGGGAGATAGACCAAGTGGAAGAGCAGCAAGGACCCCTGCACCCCTGCTGGTTGAGCAGACCCACTCCCAGGAGGCTGTCATTCATTGGGCAGAGACACAGCTCCCTGCTGACCCTCCTCCTCCAGGGTAGAGTCCTAGTACAGTTAATAAGCTGCTCCTAGGTCAGGTTCTATGTTAGACATTTTGCATAATTTAACTCATCTGACCTACTCACTCACTAACCCTATGGGATGGGTGTAATCAGCCATAGACAAGAACACGGGGAGTCCAGAGACAGGTCCCGCTATCACACAGCCACAGGAGTGCAGAGCTTGGGTGTAGGACACAGCGTAAGGACTTGCTTCTCCTTTTCTGTTGTCCCCATTAGGCTGCAGCCACCTTGAACTTGGACCTTTCTGGTTTTGGACTTGGCACATTTGAGCCTACTGAATGAAGATGTCTCTCCCAAATGCAGAGACCATAGCTGGGGACAGTGGAAGAACAAATGCTCTGGCAGCCTTTGGGGTTGCTTCCAAAGATCTGGCACCATTGATTGAGTTTGGTGTTTAATGACTTATTTTGGGGAGGAGGAAATGAGCTCATATGGAGCACTTTGAAAGCATTATCTCAATTTGCTTAAAGGAACCAAAGTTTTTTTCCTGGAGGGAGGATCATTCTCTCAGAATACGCTGTAGGCAAGGGGAGACCAAGGACCATCCTTCATCATATTGTCTCCATCGCTCCCACAGGTTCTAGGGTCATTTGTCTTACTGGGATTAAAAACTACCACACCATACTAGCAACAAAGTCTTTCCACTATAATTGACTCACGCCTTCAACACACACACACACACACACACACACACACACACACCAGTAGAAGCATGAGAAAACAAGGCAACAAAAGTGCAGCCCAAAACTCTTAACTCCCCCAAAGTTGATTCATGGGGCCTCAATGGGGAGGAAATCAAAAACCAAACAACTGAATTAGATGAAATGATGAGGAGAGACAAAACCAAACCAAACCAAACAAAACAAAACAACAGATCAAGAAGGTGCTCAGGGAGCTCAAGGATGATATAACTAAACAGATAATAGACTTAATTAATGAAATGATTAGTGACCTTAAAGAAGACACTAATGAAAAGCTAGTTGAGATGAACAAAAGGATCCAAGGCATAAGTGACCAGTTTAGCAAAGAATTAAGAGCCCATGAAATGGTAGCAAACAAAAACAGAAGATAAAAAATTCTATAGAAAGTATGGACAGCAGAAGTGATTGTTTTGAGGACATAGTATTGGAAGCAGAAGATAGGACTGATGCAGGTGTCCCTATATTCAGAGATACTTCATTGTTTTTTATTTTTATTTTTTAGTTATTTGAGTTTTTTGAGTCAGGATCTCACCGTGTAGTTCAGACTGACCTTGAATTCACTATGTAGCTCAGGCTGGCCTTGAACTCATAGCAATCCTCATGCCTCAACCTCCTGAATGCTGGGATTACAGGCATGTGCCACAAAACCCAGCCTCAGAGGTACTTTAAAGAGAAGAGAATATAGAAAATGGATCCAACAGCTGTTAGATAATTCGAAGATTAGTGTAAAATTAACTAGAATTAGTGAAAAATCAGAAGACAACACAAATGGCATAAAAAAAACCCTGCTTACAGAAATAATAGCAGAGAACTTTCCAAGAATAGGGAAAGAATTTAACATACAGGTAAGCAAGGCACATAGAACCCCAAACAGCCACACTCAGAAAAGAACTTGTCCATGACACATCATAGTCAAAACCCTGGAAGTCCAACACAAAGACAGAATCTTGAAAGCTACTAGAGAAAAACAACAAATCACTTATAAAGTTGAGCCCATTAGACTTACAGCAGGCTTCATAACACAAACTTTGATGACTTGGAAAGTCACTAGGAGTGGAGTGTTTCAAGCCCTACAAGAAAACATCTCCCAACCCACACGAAAACATCCTGCAAAACTATCTTTCAAAATTGATGGAGAAATAAGGTCTTTCCATGACAGAGAGCATCTTAAGAGATTTATGATCACCAAATCAGCACACCAAAAAGTTCTCCAAGATATCTTTGAGGGAAAAAGAAGCAAACAATGCCAAAAAGTCTAATGAAATGAATACACCAGTTATGGTGAGCAGTTAAGTGGAAGGGCAAAAAAGGAATCAGCAATAGGAAAATAATTCAATGATAGAAATAGGTCAATGTGTTTCAGTAATAACTCAGTGTGAATAGCTTCAGCTCCCCATAACACATAGATTGACATATAGGATAAATGATATACTATATGAAGGAAACACATTTTATCCAAAAAGAAATTCACAAACTAAAACTCAAAGGATGGAAACAAATTCATGTGATGGAATCTCCAAAACCAGCTATTCTATTTTCAGACAATGTGGACTTCAAGCCAAAACTGATCAGAATAGGCAAAGGAGGTCATGACATATTAGTTAAGGGAACAATTCAACAGGAAAAGATAACAATTATAAGTAAATATGCACCCAAACACTGGTGTACCCAGCTTCATAAAACAAATACTGCTGGACATAAAAGATCAGATAAACATCAACATAACCAGAGTGGAGGACTGCAATATCACAAATACACAGATCAACTAGACAAAATAAAACCAACAAAGAAATATCAGAGTTGAACCAGATCATTGAACAGATAAACTTAATATATCTATAGAATATTCCACTCAACAACAGCATACACATGCTTCTCAGATGCACATAGAACTTCCTCCAAAACAGACAACATGCTAACCCATAAAGCATGCTTAAATAAATACAAAAGAATCAAAGTTATTGCATGCATATTATCACATCACAGTACAATGAAACTAAAAATCAATAGCAAAAGAAACCTTAGAAATTATACAGAAACATGAAGGTTAAACAATACATCCTTGAATAAGAAATAGGTCACAGAGGAAGTCAAGGAAGAAATTAGACAGTTCCCAGAGTCAAACAGTAATGCCAGTACAACATATCAGAATCTGTGAGACAGAGTGAAAACAGTCCTAAGAGGAAAGCTTATAGCTGTGCACACCCACATCAGAAAAACAGAATGAGCCTAAGTAAATAACCTAAAGGTGCACCTAAAGACCTAGATAAACAAGAACAGTCCAAATTCAAAACAGATGCAAGTAAATTATAGAGATCAGAGTGGAAATAATGAAATTGAGATGAAAAGAACTCTACAAAGAATCAATAAATAAAAGAAGTGGTTTTTTTAAAAAGACTAAATAAAATAGGAAAACTCTTAGCCAATCTTACCAAAAAAGGGAAAGAAAAGACCTACATCAATTTGATTATAAACAGATTTTTTTTTAAAATGGAAAAGGTGAAATAAAAATATATACCACCAAAATCTAGAACATCATTAGTAATACTTTGAGAAACTAAACTCCAATAAACTGGAAAATCCAAAAGAAATGGACAGATTCCTAGATACATACAAATTACCAGGTTGGAACCAAAAATATATTAAAAACCCTGAATTATGCACTAATAGGCATTGAAATAAAGCAGTAGTTAAAAACTTAGCAATTAATACCATTATTTACGGATGACATGATACTCCACATAGAAGACCCCCAAAACTCCACTAAAAACTGCTAGATTTAATAATCAAATTCAGTAGCATAGCTAGATACAAAATCAACAGTCAAAAATCAATAGCCTTCCTATATACAAATAACAAACTCACTGAGAGAGAAATTAGGGAAACAACACCTTTCACAATAGCACCCCAAAAATGAAACACCTAGGAATCAATCTAATGAAGGATGTAAAAGACCTCTACATTGAAAACTACAGTACCATGAGAAAGTATATAAGCAGATATCAGAAAATTGAAAGATATCCCTTGCTCTTGGGTAGGAAATACTAATATAGTGAAAATGGCCATACTTCCAAAACTGTTGTACAGATTTAATGCAATTCTAATCAAAATTCCAATAGCATACCTCACAGAATTAGAGAAAGCAATCTAAAAATTCATTTGGAACCAGAAGAGACCTAGAAAAGCAAAGGCAATTCTGGGCAACAGAGGAAGGCAGGGGGCATCAAAATCCTTGACTTGAAATTATACTATAAAGCTACTGTAATAAAAATAGCATGGTACTGGAAAAACAAAACAGACCCAAAGATCAGTGGAACAGATGAGAAGATGCAGAAACAACTCCAGACATACTCAACCACCTTATCTTTGACAAAGGTGCCAAATACATTCACTGGAT